CTGGAAACCAATTTCCCTGTAGACCAGAGTGGGTAAAAGCTTCAGGTGGGAATTAAGTTCATCATGATGTACATTTATTTTTACTTATCCACTTAAGAGGAAAAATACCCTAAAGTAAGCTGTTACTGGAATGTGCCATAGCTGCTCACCTGCTCTCAAGGAAAACTTTCCTGATTTGTCCATCACAAAATGGAGGAGAGTTGTTGTAGTTTTTACCCTTGTGGTCAGGGAGGTTGTAAGAATGGGAAAGGAGGATGCGCTTCAAGCAGTCGTGTGTGGCTGGTTATTACAGTTCAGCTTGTGGGAAGACTGTATCCTCAAAATGAGCATTACTGTACTGTTTTGGTCCAACATCACTGAACTTTTGTCTTATATATCTCTATATATGTAATGCCAAATGCAGTCTTTATTTCAAAGTAAGAAATCAATGTAGAAGTTGGAAGCGTTTTGTGACAAATGCTGTATGCGACAGAATGATGATCACTGGGAATTACTGAAGCGTGTCAAAATAGTGACAATAATAAATTCACATCAAAAGAGATGTTGCACATTAGGATTAAATATGGTGCTTAAGAAAGATGAATTTCCCAGGGAAGTAGACGATGATATTTCTGCTGTGCATTTATTTTCTCTGCTTACTCAAAACCATACTTGAAACAAGGTTAATTTTTCAAAACCATGTTCTTTAAACCTAGTTACACAAATGGTAATCCCAGTAACGTCTTGCCACAGAATAAAAACCAGGCCATACGAGGATGTTAAACAGCTCTGTTAAAGGGTTCTACAGATAAATTTTGGGAAGATGCAAACTTCTGTGAGGGATTTTTGGCATCCTGCAAACAGTGAGGTAGCTGTCAACATGTCTACATCCTACACTGTCCAAACACTCACTGTCAGAGTTATTATTACACTATTATTATTTCAGCTCAGGACCTGTGTTTCTGGAAGCACACATATTTACTTTGATCTTCTACCACTTCTCTTCCGAGCAGAATTATATCAACAAGTGCAGCCATTCAGAGTTACGATTGCATGATAGAAAATGAGTGCTTTCAACAAACTACTCAGCAAGTCAATAGAGTTCATAAAAGCTGGGGATATGAACCAGAAAGCGTCATTCATTAATGTTGTTGACGGTTATTCAACTTTAATCATAATACTGTAGAGCTATTTAAATCTACAGCTCTGCCATACGTAAGTTAACGTAGCATATTTTACAGAAATTATCAAGGCCTGGTTCCATAGATCACTGCACAGCCTATAATTAAGTCTTTAATGAGTTTCAGAGTGATTTCTGTATATTTGTGCAGATTGTAAAAAGTGCTTTACCAAATCTCTCCTCCTCTCATTCTGCTTTCAGGCATGTTTCATGCATACAGTCCAGGATAAGTTGAATTTTTATGTACTGTTCAGAACAAGGGGTAGTTAAGTGAATAGTGACCTTGCTGCTAAGTAGTGCTTGTGTGTACACAAAACAATTTTCACACCTCTTTTGTTGGTGATAGTAAGAAGCAATATTTTTCTAAGGGTCACGAAGCCCTTTAATACTGCCGTTGCTGTTATGGGTAGCAGAACAGAGCCTCGGTGACATCCATTGCAGCATTTCATTCTTTGAAGAGGCAGTACCAGATCTGACCTCGGCCCTGACAGGAGAATAGACCTTACTGCTCTCTGCATCCAGGGTAAGGACTTTGTCATCTAGAAAACACTTTATCTGTCATGTCTTGCTGGAAGTTCTGGGTATCATTTTTTACTGTAATTCTCACTGCAAGTTTTGTTTACTTTTGTGCATTTCTAAGCATTCCTTAGACCTTATCCTGGTCCACCTGGAAATGCATCATATCCACTGTCTCAGTCCCCCCATGCACATAAAATAGGGTAGAAATAAGTACGTACTTATTTTCTGGAGTAATTAGAGACAGGGGTTTCAAGAGTTTCAATGGTTCAGCCCAAGTCATTGGTTAATAACCCGTAGTTCTTTCAGCTGTGGAATTCTCCCACTGTCAAGTAGGTTTCTGAAATTTCCTTAGGAAGAAAAGCTGCTGGGAACAAAAACAAATACAGTTGAAGATTTAATTATTTGCTGCCAGATTGTGCATGGATTTGCTTATTTACTTACACCACAATTTTGTAATCATTAAGCCTCCATTCATCAGCTGGCACTGTTCTTAACAAGACTTCAGAAAAGTTTCAGCTGCAAGTTAGGCACTGATTAGTTTCCTAGTTGGGATACGCCACAAGCTCTGCTGTAATCAAAACTGCTTGACCCTGTGCAGGAACAGTAGCAAGTATTTCATAACTTACTATTATTTAAACTCATAGCTAATCTGGAAGAATAGTAGCAAGGTTTTAATCAATAGTAATAATAGCTTTGCGCTTGCTAACCAGTATCATCATCTCTTGTTCAGTAGCAGTCACAGTCTGCGATAGAATCACACTACCATTAGTGTCCAAAGTGGATACTGCATGGAAAAAATGGAAGAGATACCCTAGACCCCTAGCTATTTTTAAGGGCTCTTAATTTCTCTTTTGAGAGCTAAGCTAAAGGAAGTTGCAGGCTCTCATGGAAGCATTCATGCTAACAGCAGTATGTCACATTTCCAGCAAGACAGAACAAACTTAAGGCTTCTGTGAAACAGGAACAATTTTGATCTGCTCTTCATTTATTTTTAAGCTACTAGTTTAAACAGAACGTAGTGATAATGTTTGTATAATATGTGCCAGAATGACTGTTGTCAGAAGAATAGGACAGAAAACAAGGCATCCCACTTCTTATTTTAAGGACTAGGCCATAGACATGAAAGGGCTCTGCCCACTTACAGGTACCATTGACTATCTACAACAGAAGAAACTAGTAACCTAGAGGAAAAAGAGCTTCAAATAGAATCGCAAGACTGGAAAGGACAAGATCGTCTAGTCCAACTGACATCCCATAGCCATTATTACCCACTAAACTACTAAACCATATCTTGTAGCAAAACCATACCTCATAGCAAAATCAGCAGCAAGCGAGACAGTTAAGGAGCACATATACTCTCTTCCTTCCTTCTAAATGGGGCTTCCGGTCAAGCTTCCCATAGCTTCTTTTAATTCTGCACAGAGAAGATTTTTCTAGTACTGTTATTTAAGACTTTACTAACTTTTGTTCTATTTTCAGGTCTTATTGAAGCAGAACAGCAACATTAGTCTTCAGCAGCTGTGGAAAACAACAAAGATCATAAAGCCAGTCTCCAGGTGACATAACTCTCACAGAAGCAACAGCTCCAGTCTACCTTTCCACCAGCCAAGAGCAAGGCTTCTGGGCTGTTGAGCGCAGGTAAGCTGTATTCACTTACATGTTCTAAGAAGCCACCCACGCAACTGCACTCCAGCTTTTGCTATAAAACTAGTAATGGCTATTACTACATCAGGAAAGAACTAATTAAAGCCACTTACTGGTTTTGACAGCTTGATGCTGGTACCTAATCAACATCAGTACCACAAAATTAAGCTACCACAGCAATCATCGGGGATTACTAGAGAGGTGCTGCATCTTGTTCATTTTCTGTACATCTCTTGGCTGTGACCTACATTTGAGACAACAGAAACCAAGCTATGTAGTGTTACAATTGTAAGTAAAACCAGATGGAAAACAATAGTGTGCAAAAAAAGTGGCAAATGTGAACACAACGCAGTCTGGAAAGACATCCGAGTTTCTTAATCATGTAAGAGCTTCAAGTTTCCAGAGCGAGCCATAAGTAAAGTTCACTCAATTCATTCCATTTCCCTCTAGGCTGATGGCTTTTCATTCCTGCCTAGTGTCGCAGTTGCTTTGCCTAGTAAGCAGGTTGAGCTTGACAGCGCAAGCTCTAAACTCACATCCACAGCGAGTAAGACAGCACTGGAACTTGGCTTTGCTTGTTGAGGAAGAGAAACTTAAAGTCAGGTAAGCTACTTTTACTCAAACCCCAAATGCCTTTTTAAAACATGAGCTGGATGCAAAAATAAAAAGTATACCTCTAAGACAATTTGCTCTGTATTCATGAAGTCTCTTCATTATTCTACTGCTTATGGTGTAGTTAAGTATCACAATCTTAAGCAGCAACCAATTTTATTAGAGGGGATTCCTACGTATGGAACTGCAGTTTAGCTTGCAGACTGGCACTCAGTCTTCAGCTTCAGGTCATCGTTACTTAAACTTGAACCAGATCAAGGCTCAGCAGCCACTCCATTTGCATGTATTATCAGAATGTATAGGATGAAAAGCTAGAAGGGTGAAAGCTCTCCTTCACACTTCATGTTTTCCTGACTAAGTCAGCTCTTATACTGGGCAGCTACAATTGCACACCCACACCACTCCACCTCCTTCACCTCTTAGAAAGAAGGGAAAAATAAAATTCAGAAAATAAGTCACCACACCACCTCTTCTTGCCTTATACAGTTCTCATTCACTACAGCTAGGGCAGAACCCTAGCTGTAGAAGATATACCCAACTTCACTAAAGCTGCCAGAGATAGCATACAATCTAATCTTAAGATAGGACCTACAAGCTCTCCAAGACATCCAGGCACTGGAGCTCAAGACCTTCCCTAAAGGAAGGAAGTGGGTTCTCCTTCCAGAACAAGGCCTTCCACCCTCAGTCAATTAGCCCTAGAGAAAGAAGAGCCAGGGCACCCTCACTGGCCAAGAAGGAACACAGTTCTGCAAGGAAGGTCACCCCAAGCCCAGCAGCAGTAGGAGCACCACAAGCAATAGAACACATCTTTCCCCCCTCCACACCCCCCCACCCCAGGGGAGGGCCCCAGCAAGGGGCCAAAAGACACAAAAAGACGACAGAACCCACCCTCCCAACAAAAAAAAAAAAAAAAAAAAAAAAAAAAAAAAACACAACTAAAGTTTATCCCCAGCAATAAAATACCAACAAAAACATACTTATAGCACTCACCAAAAATAAAGACATCCATCACAGGAGGGCACATAACTCTCTTCTTCCCATTTAAGGGCTGCACAAAAACCTAAAGAGAAAAAAAAAAACCTTCAGGAGGGGAACCCCTGGGAAAGAACTACTCACCACAAAAGTTCCAGACCTGCAGCAAAAACACCTTCACAATTCTGGGATCCACAAGCAATCCTAGTAGCAATGGGACTACTAGGACTGCTCACAGGCTGAACTGATCCAAAGCAGCATCCACCCTGCAACAAGAGACAAGAAAAAAAGAAATAAAGCCCAACTCAGGCAGTGCTTTTATTTCACTTCCCTTTTGCCACACAGTGCACCAGCCTTAACAAAACCAAGACAACAACCCAGCACCTTTTAACCAAAACAGGGAGCCCTGCCCCAGGAAAAAAAAAAAAAAAAAAAAACTCTTCTCACCCCAAGGAGCACCAGCCCTAACAAGACCAAGACAACAACCCAGCACCTTCCAACCAAAAGCAGGGAGCCTCCAGTTACCCCCACACACTCACCAACAGTAGAACTCCTCACAGGTCCAGGCTTAAAAGTGACTCTCAGACAGCCCTGACCCTGCCAAAGGAAACAAAAATAAAGCCCTTCTCACCCCCATCCTACTTGGCTGTGTCACCCAAATGGCAGACAGAGGAAACCTTGGTGCACCAGCCCCAAGAAAATAGAAGAGGGAGTCCAGCACCATCTAACCAAAAGCAGAGAGCCTCCAGTGAAACTGCTAACAGGCCTGGGTTTACAAGAGGACCCTGCACAAGAAAGAAGGAAAAAAAACAAACAAACAAACAAAAAACCTGCAAGCAGGGTTTCTTTTCAAACCTACCCTTGCATTGCTTCTTACTCCCGGCAGCTACAGGACTGGCCACGCATTGGTCCTCGGAAGCAGTGGAAGTTCTTTGCAATACCAAGTAAACTATCAGTTTACAACTACAAAACAACTTACAAAACAACTACATAGGAAAAGCCAACTCACTTGAGAAGTAATGAGGGTCTCCAGATATAGAAAATCCCTTCTCAGAAAGCAGCCTTCATCCAGGAGATGTTCTCCCTGCAGAGGCTAGCCCTTAAATGAGCTCAGGAAGGGGCGGACCCTGAGTCACGTGGGAAGCACAGGTGAATTACTTTCACCTGTGCTTCCTGGGCCAGCCGCTCCCCTCATCACAGAATCATTGAATGGCCTGGGTGGAAAAAGAGCAAAAGATCATCCGGCCAGTTCCAGTGCGTCCCCACCCTCTGAGAAAAAAAAAAAAAAATTCCTCCTGATCTCTCACCTAAACCTTGCCATTTTAGCTTCAAACCATTCCCCCATGTCTATCGCTATCCACCCTTGTAAACAGTCAATCCCCTTCCATTTATACCTTCCTTTCAAGTACTGGAAGGCCACAATGAGGTCTCCCCAAAGCCCTTACCTTCTCAGTTCCCTCAACCTTTCTTTACAAGAGAGGTGGTCCTCCTCCAGACACGTTCCATGAGCTCTGTGCCTATCTTGTGCTGGATGCAGTACTCCAGATGGGCACTCACAAGAGCTGAGCAGAGGGAGACAATCACCTCTCTCTTCCTACTGGCCACATCTTCTTTAATGTCCTCAGTCATCACTTCAGGTGGTGACGTACTAGTCCCCCTACAAGAGAAATAGGGGAGACAAAAAAGAGAGGAGGGGAAAAACCCAGCTGCAGCCCTATACTGGGCCCAGAAAAAGCTGTGTGGGAGCCAAGCAACCTGCTGCCACGGCCAAGGAAGCACCAGGAACCCTTCAGTGCAAGGCACTCCCCAGCAGCAGCCCCTGAACTCCTTCCTTACAACTTCTTACTTACCAGCACCAGAGCTGGGCTAAAGGGCATAGCTCCATCTTGCTTACCTGTCGCTCTGAGCACAAGGGGTTGCAGCACCTTCAGAACCCTCTGGGCCCCAAGAAAAAGCAGCTCGACAGGAGCCCAGCAGCAGCCTCTGTAACAACACCACAAATCAGAAGAGCCAGCGGAGCGCAGCAGCAGCAATTCTTTCAGTTACCCAAAAAAAAAAAAAACCCCACAAAAATAAACTCAAAGCCCAGCAGCAGCAGCACTGTGCTGGTTTCCCCCCCAAAAAACAAAACAAAACAAAACAAACAAAAAAAAAAACCACACACCAGGGAGCCCAGCAGAAATCTGCTTCTAGAAATACAGAGAGAGAGAGAGAGAGAGAGAGAGAAACCAACACCACCCCGAGGCTAGCCCCCCAAAAATCATGACCACAAACCCAGCAGCCTCCTACTGC